GCGGATTTTCTACACCTACAACTGTTTCGAAAGTAGCAGACTGGAGGTCCGCTACACGATGCTTTACTCGGCTGCCAGAACTTTCCAACCGAACATCGCCACACACACAAACAGACACACACGCACAGCGTGCACTCGCATCAGGTAACGCAAAAAGTTTTACCGGTTTTACCAGTCGCGATCGATTCCACTAATGACACAACTTCGGAGTTGCCCTTGACAACGACGGCGCACACACAGAAGACGATCACTCGGGGAATCATTGGCACCCGCATCACTGTACTCTCAGCACCGTCGCGTATTCGGTGCGCCTTGAGCTCCCAGAAGTGCGAAAAGAATTTACAGATGCGAGGCGTCGGGGTACCCAAAAGCGATCTCCCTCAAAACTAGGGTTACAGACGGCAAAAGAAGCAGGATCGCGGACGTGGCAGTCGCGCAGGCCGCGTGGAAACGATACCTTTAGATTCGGCGAAGTTGCAGGCGTACATCCGACCGTCAGAGGTTCGTCATAGCGGCCACAAAGTCACCACACACCACGAACTTGGAGCAGTGTTCAAACCGTTTTCGCGCTGGTGGCCATGTTGGAAAGTTCACAAGCGCGACCAGCGCGACGCGCGGCGCGCGAGCGTTTTGGAGGTCACGTGAGCCAGAAGTGGCGTGGTCACGTGATACGCAAACGCAGCCAACCAGATGACCAGGCCTGTGGCGCAATTTTCGAATTATCTAGCTGTTCTGCCAAATAATGACTTCACAACATCCACTTCTTTCTTCTTATGATTTTACTTTTGTCCCAAAGAAGTAATCATTTTAGTTATTTGTTTTTATTGGGACTATGGCATTCAAACCAAAATTGGTTGGTTGAATGTCAACAACGGTTAAAAATCAAACCAATCTCGTTTCGGAAACAACGTTGATTCCGACGTTATCGTGAAATTCCTCCTGCGCATCAAAAAATATTATTTTTTCACTTCTGGGGCTTATGGCTTCCTTGTATGGATAACCGAACATTTTATTAAATTCCATTTTATTGAATACAAGCTATTTCATACTTGGTGAGCGCGTTAGTAATGATGCAACTTCAGAGGGAATGGGACAAAACATCTTTCAACTTTCAACACACAAATGATTTATTGCCGGCACGCATGGCCTTGGGAAACTCACTCGAGGAGAGGGAAAGTTAGGAGGAGAAGGGGTAGGAATTAATGGCAAGAGAAGGCCCCGTGTAGGATCACCTGATGATGTTTTATCGAATATAGCATTATCAAATTTCAGAGCATTCCAGCGCCTTCCGTAAGCTTTGGTGCTGCATTATGAGAAACATGTTACTATGCTGGTCACTTTTTTCGTTTGCATAAAGTAGATAGGGGATACGACAAGTTTATTGTAAAAAAAAAATTATAATGCAGAAACATATCAAATTAAAAAAAAAAAAAGAAATTTTTCCAACAGTGTATTAACGTTATTGGGCTGTAAGCTTCACACAGGGCCTTCGCTGGATACCTGTTTGAGTACAAGACTAGTATGTGATGTTCTGTCTATGCTGGAAAAGGGAGGGCAAGTAATGAGCAGAATATTAACATACAGCAAACACTAAAACCAGCCTTTTGCCTACGCAAGCAGGAACGAGCGCGCGCACTACTTCATCCTTTATGTGAAAGAAAAATGCGAGGTTCTTTAGATTCTAAAATCCCAAGGAGATTCCAGTTTGAAACACACAGAACAGATGACGATAATCATAATTGTTTCCACCGTTCAATTAGGCAGTGTTTAATGAAACAGTGCTCGCAGGCACGTAGCCAGAATTTTGTTTCGGGGGGGGGGGGGGGGGGGGGGGGGCGCCCATGACAAGATGTTGTATGAGGGAGAGGGGGGAGAGGGGGCCCCAGCAAAATGGAAGATTTCGGGGGAGGCCCGGCTCCATGGGCCACCCCCCTGGTTACGTGCCGAGTGCTCGATAAAACTGCATTTGCAAAAACGGCATTCAAAGAAATAGTGTTAAATAATATGACAGAGCCCACATAATGCCCCAAGCCTACAAGCATGAAGTATACCTTTGGCAGGGGCGCAGTACTGAATACACAATGTTCTTGTTCATACGAGCAGAAATGGCAGCAGCCAGATGCCCCGTTATCAATCAAGTACAAATCAACATGTGAACTACTATACCTTTAAATGTCGTCCATTAGTGTGTACATTCTGGAATTATTACAATTAAGTTTACTTTTCTGACCTTGCACCGAGGCAACGGTAAAAACAATAGTCAACCTTCACCATAATTATGTGTGAAGTAACAATTACATGCTTACTTACCTAGTACTTGACCTTTCATTTTTTTTCTGATCATCAATCACATAAATCTGTCATCCAACAGAAGCCCATTAGGCAAGATCACTTGCTTATACATAATCTTATAGCTTCTTGCAGCTGTTTTCATCAAAATTGGATCTCTAATTTTTATTACAATATATTCAAAACAACATATTCCCTGCAGTTTGAGCATTACAGCAAGCTACTTTGGCACTATTTCACTTTCTGAATGAGCAATCAAGATGGTCAATGAAGAAGCTGCTGGTATGGTAGGGACTAGACAGAACTCTTCTGCACCATTGCCCAAAGAAAAAAAAGATTGAAGCAAAACTGCTATGGTAGTGTTTGCACACAGCTAAAATCATGTACACAATCCAGTGCTAGCCTCAACTAACCCAACGTGCACAAACGACAGGTGCAAGAGACCGAAAAAATAATCCTTGACCCCAAGGTATAATGAAAATATTCTTTCAAAAGGTCTAAATGTAAGAGTTTGACTGCAGTATATACCCCTGCTCCTTTTTCTGCAGAAGACCTAAGCTTCAGGTACTGAATTTTTGTTTTAGATATGTGACTATGTTTTCTGTTTTTTCACAATTAAAACCAATCGGTTGAAAAGTGCAATTCTGGCTCTAAGCAAGACACCCAATACATTAGAGAAGCTTCACAAAATATTAAAAAAATTCTGTTAATTCCACTGCAGAAAGGGAATGATTATAAAGTTCAGTTAATTATTACAGTAGCTGTAATGTATATATTGCACATGTGGTCAGTTCATACTACAATTCATTCTTTCCATTCACCGTCTCAATTATACTCTCACTTCTAGGTGCTTGGTATATTGTAAAAACCTTATTTGCTAGGATTTTAATGGCTAACATTTGTGGTTGGGTAAGCTGATGTAATTAATATGCACATTACTATATATTTGAAAATGATAGCAAGGAATGTATGCAGGCAAGTATTTTATAGCCTTTTATTCCTCTTGGTCTCATTCATTCCCATACTATTTTTTTTAAAGCACATTAATAACTGCATGATGGACAGGGGGCGGGGTGAGGGGGGGGGGGGAAGGAGGGGATAGGACTTACCATTTTAAAAACCTCTTAGTGTAGCCAAACAGCTATCTAATACTTTTGTGTAAATGTTTTCTTTCTCTACAACGCCTATTCAGGATTTACCAAGACATCCCCAGGAGCCCGATTGAGGTCCAAAAGCAAGTAGACAAATAAGGAACAGTGACCTTAGTTGCAAAACATTTTACTCCACAGGTTCATAAATAGTCTTGCACATGCTATACAGGCCACTAGATAAGCTACACTTTTCAGTGCCAGCACTGCATTCCCAGATTTTCTTGTGGGCGCCGCCATTTTGGTGCTTAGTGCAAAGCGAGCGCAACCGGCGATCGTTACGATTCGAAAATGTGACCTCTTGAGCTTTGATTATAATGCAATTAAATGCAAAGGTGCAAGCGAGCTGGACAAGAATGACGAAAATAATCCCTGGAGAAGGGGAACAAGAGGGACAAAGGACAAACACAAATCTGGTGAAAAGACGGTGAGAGTGCAGGCGAGCTGGTGGTAGCTAATCATGTCGTATTACACCTGAGACTGCGGTGGAAGAAATCGGAAGAACTTTCAGTAGAAGGAACAGACACAGAGAACGAGAACACAGAGCTGAGTTCGAGACGTTCTCTGTGTCTGTTCCTTCTACTGAAAGTTCTTCCGATTTCTTCCACCGCAGTCTCAGGTGTAATACGACATGACAAATCTGGTGGCGGCTGATAACACCCGTTTGCTCTACTGATGTCTAACCCCTGGTTAGCTCAATTGGTAGAGCGCTCCACCTGTAATGGAGAGGTCCTGGGTTCGATACCCGGACCAGGCGGATTTTTTCGGTCGCGCACCAGTCACCTATTTGTGTTTGTCCTTTGTCCCTCTTGTTCCCCCTCTCCAGGGATTATTTTCGTCACCTCTTGAGCTCTCGATAAGGCGACAGGAAGCTTGGACAACAACATTCTGATCTGTTGCATACTGTTTTAACGTTCCTGAAGGATTGAAAAATCATTTCCTAGAAATTCAGATAAAGCTTCGGATAACTGGCATGATGGTTTTAAGCATTTCGACAGGTTATAAGAATGCAGTAGATGCTCCGCATCCAGAGCAAGCTTTCTGCCTCCGATAACACTTCATCACACGAGTAGCCAAAGCCCGGTGAAAGGCAACCAGTGCCTGCTGGAGGCAGACCTTCCACTGCATTCTCAGCCTCTCACCGACTGTGCACCGAGAAAGTGAGGGAGACGAGGAGATGAGACCACGCGGGGACGTCAGAATGCCGAGCTTCGATTCAAATAATTAGGTGGTAGACCTGAAGCTAGCTGCCCTTGTCCCCATTGCACTCATCGAACCCATTCAAATGAGAGAGCCAAACGCCAGACGCCGGCGTTCCACGTTCCAACATGTTTGACGAGTGCAGTGAAGACCAAGGTTGCTAGCTTTAGGTCTACCCACTAATCAGTCTAACCAGAGGTCGGCGTTCTGATGTCCCGTGCGCTCTCGTCTCCTCGTCTCCCTTGGTTTCTCGGCACGAGCTATATATCTCGGTGTCCTCGAACCTAAATACGAGAATATGTCAACACACAATCACCGGTAGGACTTGCTTCTGCTCCTGTCGGTGATCTCCACAAAGCACGCATCCATTTTTCTTCTTTTTTTTTTATTGGCATTCATGGAACACACTATAGTCAACAGCATTTCTTCAATCGGGCTTCAGGCTCATCACTAAGCTATGACTGCAAGCCTCTATGCACACAGCATCTCGTCCAGGAGGAATGCCCCGCCCCGTGCGCCGTACGTGGGAGGTCTCGATAGGCAAAAATAGAGCAGCGCTCAGAGGCTGCCTCTGGTATCTGTTAATAAGGATCTGAAAGGGCTATGTACAAGTCTCTCGGGGAGGATATGGGAGGGCCGGCCGCAGACACACCGGCCGCCACTACGACTTAGAGTCCACGGGCAACGTATGGGAACAGACTCGGGCGTGAACTCGAAGGAACTCTGACTCTTCTGAGGAGGCCAGGTCGGCCTTGACCATCTCCGTCTCTTCGTGCTGGAATGAGAGAACAGAAGGGGAGAGTAAGTATGGGTTATGTCACATGTGCCGCCATCACGAAGTGTTAGCTAAAAAATAAATAAGTGCCGCACCAAAAAAAACAATAAGAACACCACTAATGAGTGAATTGGTTGAAATTTACTTAGTATCCACACTGCTTCTATGGGTGATCTACTAATTTCGAACCGGACGAGCTCTTGGGGTTAAATTTAATTTTAACGGGAGAAAAATGGTGCATTTCGTACGTCACGCCATTGTGTGCCAAAAGTGGGTGAGGATGACCGAAAGACTGAGGACTGAGGGTATGGTGCCCGGAATGAGTCTCCGACTTTAGCATTTGCAGTGTCCTCATTTGTGGTCTCTTGATTCCTGCCCGATGATGTCGGACATTGTCGCGTGCCGACGCATGCCACGACCCCCACAGCGGCACAGCGGAAGAACTGAGTGTGGCAGTCCCCCATTTTGCTGAAGCCTGTTCTGCAGCCAGGCGGTCAACGGATGCTAAAGTAGACACGAGACCGGTTGCCGCAGCAACGGCGACTCTCACATTCACTCGCCTTCTTTGCTCGCATTTCTACGACCGACTGCCGGAATCTCGACATTCAACAGCACGATGCACTGGCTTCTCTGATGTGACTTAATTGTTACCACTTTGGGGCCACCTTTGATGTATATGGGCGGTATGGGACGCAAAACGCACCAGTCGAGGACGCATATTCCATGCACCGTACAAAGAGAAAACTCTTTAACAGTCTTCAGTAATTAGAAAACACTAGAACATTTCCCAAATGCCCTTTTGTTCCTCTACAACCATGTTGCCAAACCCAGCATACAGCTTGCCAGACACGTTCTAATCTGCACGTTGCCCCTCTGAGACACCTATTGACCATAGTGGCAAGGTGGTTGTGATCCTATGCTGCCCGGTGTTGTGGCTGCTGAAGGGTCGTTGCCACGTTGACCGACTCCCTGGACGTCCCACATCAGGAGTGGCTGCAGGCTAGAGATGGTGCGTTGTTGACCATGCTATACCCCTTGGCTCATTTCTACCAGGTGCGACTGTGGCAGCCCCGTGCAGTCACATACAATTCCTCGACGGGCGACACTTTCATGTGTCCAAACTGCCCAGCGTGGAAATAGCGTCTTGCAATATCTTGTACACTCACGAAGACTGGCTCACATATTTTTATCTGCGTTACAATCTTTTGTGACGGCGTATGACAAAAGAACACATTGACACCATCTATTGGGGGGCCCTGGAACATTTTAATGTTTCACCGTAAGCTTCAAATAATTCTCACAATGTTACGAGACCATTTTTTATCGATGTGGTGTGTAGGTCTGATCTCGCAAGTATACTGCAAAACCTCCAGTATAGTTGTTTGCAGATCGGGAGAGTTCTCAAGCTACATGATAGATGGCATCAGCGTGTTTTTTACCATTCTATTGTAAGCCATCGCAATAAATCAGAACAAAGTCCATCACAGTCAAATGCAAATGCGTGAACCAGCCTTTGCAGTCAGACGCCTCCTTTGACTTGCGTTTTTTGCAAGGTTGCCAATGTCTCTTGATGCAGTGGCAATGAGGCTTCACGGTACTCAACAGAGTTGGAAGTGTTGAGTGTAGCTTCCGCCCCATCGGAAGCTTTGCACAAAAGAAGCCTTCTGGTCCAGGCGTACCTAGTTCGGCAGGCCAAACAAGCTTGCGCTGAATTTGAAGATTTTTTCCAGCGGGCCTTGTGCAGCTTGCGCAACTCCCACTCCTCCTCCGTTACTTCAGTGATAGTATATCAGCTTAAGTCACTAGCTGGGCTACCCACTCTGTCAGTCGCCAAAACTTGCTCAATACAAACTGGAGACCGTTGTCAGAGCACATAGCTTATAAGCAGCTGTGCCCCAAGGAGAACTGGCCAAGACCCCAATCAAGCCTTCTGTGGTCGTATTGAGGCGGATCTTTCAGCTTGAGAACTTTCTGTAGTAGTGCTATAGGACTGAAAAACCCAGAGATGAGGTACACACAGGAAATTGGGACAAACAAAACACCATCTTGCCTTGGCATTGTTTGTTGCTTTCTGTGTGTCCCTCTCTTTCAGGTTCTCCACTGCAATCTTCACATCATCCGTTCACCTGCACACGGACTCTTATTTATGTAGTCGTCAACGATGGCAATACACCTTCTTCCCCTCAACTCAAAAAGGTCCATTTTGATGTCCTGCCCTGAACGACGCGGTGGTGGAGTTTGAAAAAAGGGTTTGGCAGCAGATCACTGTGGCACGAAGAACACAGAATCACATAGCTTCGCCTTTCCGAAGTGATACCGGACCACAAGACGAAGTGGCTCGCTTTTGCCGGGCATCGGACAACACCCTAATTACCACAATGTAGTCAGTCATTCCAAAACCTTTTTCTACAGACTCAGAAGGATAACTAGTCAGTCGCTGTACATGAGTAGTCCCTGAGTGATTGAGAGGTCTGCTAAGAGACCGCAAGACTTCATCAAGTCCAGAGGGAGCTCGTACATCAGAGGAGCTGTTTTTGGCAGCACTTGCCGCAGTTGGATCTGTAAAATTCAGTCCCAAATCTTGCCAAAACAGAAGTCGACGCTGGAAGGAGATTCACCGTAAGCATCACATATTTTTTGAACTTGTGTTTTTGTAGAGTTTGTAGAGTGGCCTGATGTTGGTGGAGGCTCCATAGATAGAAGCTCCCTGGGTTTCATCTGCAGTGTATATCTTTATACTTGATACATGTAATGTGGTGGAATCATACTCGAAGGTGCATGTTCTCGGCTGCTGTGACCTTGTTGTCATCCCTTCCAGACGTATAGTTGACAACGACACCAAAGGCTTATGGTCCGTCTCAACATGGAACACCTGTCCTGCCAGGTAGGCCCGGAAATGCTTAGAGGCCTAAGCGGTAGTCGAGGCCTCTTTCTCAACTTTGGCACATTTCTGCTGTCAATCCGTGGCTCTCATGTTGCAGCCATGGTTCTCAGCCCTGAGCATGTGGAGTGAAAGCTTGTGCTGCAGAACCCAGGGATCCTGTTTAGTCCCCACCCTTGCCCGTTTCGATCTGGATGAGCATCGTTCTGGCGTGCAGTCGTGGATCACTACTGCATGGTGCACGCTAAAGACCCCCAAGCTAGCAGTGGTACATACTGCACTGGTTAAATTTCACATCTACAGCGTAAACCAGTGTTGCCACACCTTAGAGGCAGACCCACCTTACACTGTATAAACACAAACATCAAATTTGTCTTTTTTTTTTTTTTTTTTTCATTCTTTAGTTCAGTTTACAAGAATAGCCATCTGCCAATAATAAATGGTGTGCTCCTGGTTTGTAAAATGTGAAAATTGGGGACCTGCACAGGTCGTCTGGTAACAGCCTCTCAACAGGCATAAATTTTAGTGTCGTGCGAATATTCTAATTTTCGAATAGTAGTTTCGAATAATACGCTAGACGCTTCGAGCTGAACTGTGATATTCATACTTTTTGAAGTATTGATTGCGGTGGGTTAGCCCCGTTGAATGCGCTTCTCACCGAGCATCAGTGCACTGCGGGGAAGCAATACCCATGGAGCTTGCAGGAGCCACAAGTATTGCTTTCCTGCAGTACACAGGTGCTTGATGAGGAGCACACTCAATGGGGCGAACAGGCCGCAATTATTCTAGGTATATGTATGTTGGGCAGCAATGTCTTGACAGCATGCAATCATCATTCGTGCTTTTTTTTTTTTATTTATTTGTTTGTTAAATTTAAAATAAAGAATATTTGCATATAGCAAGCAATTTATAAATCCCCTTGATTACAGCTGACAAATCTGTCATTTACATGCCACAGTTCATATACTAGTTATATTCAAATTAACTGAGCTCAGAAGTGTCAAGGGAAAGGTTGGGAACAAACTTTACAAGTTCAGCTGAATTCTCATTTAAGCGTGGTGCACAATAGTGAGAGACTTTTAAAGAATTTGACCAAAACCACTCTTCGCTTTGAACTTAAAATCCACCATTCACACATGACTGATGGATTCAGATCCCACCACTGCTACCCTAGCTGTCTCATGTCCTGTGCCAAAGGCATGTGAAGATGACCAAGGTACAACCAAGAGGATAGTTTAACTGCTCTTAATGGTGTGAAAATCGTATACTCTATTTCACCATAGCTTGGCAAATAGCCAAAGTTATGGCCCCAATGACCCAATCAGAGCTTCAGAGCAAAGCAGGGGACAGCATACTGTCAGTGTCGGCTCTTCCTGTGCAGAGTACCCTCACGCTTACTCCGTCGTTCTAATCAGCTCACGTAGGCTGTAGCTTTCACTCTCCACCAAGTTATGCCGAGACAAAGCATAGAAAGCTTAAAATGTGTCTCTTGACACACATACTGCCAGATGCACGTTTATCTACATGACATTTTTTAACTAAACTCCGTTTTACCAGAAGTGCGAGCAGAGCAGAAGCAACAAGACGAAGCTCCAAACTATTATGCACCTGCACTTGCGAGTGCACTCATCCATTGCAAGCGTTGTTAGAGGCAACTCACTCGTGCTAGTGGCATTCACTGTGCTCAGTTAGGGTCAAACGGCATGTAAAACAAAGATACAACCGCCAGTTTGTAAATTCTTTGGTTCTCGAGTTACTGACCAAAGCTGCATAGGCAAGCAATAGGTGTTCCATATGTTCTGCAGAAAAGCTGTAGTACAGGTGAGCTTCATTCACAAAAAGGTCGACCAGGTTCGAGTAAGCACCTAAATAGAATAACCACTGTGTCCACTAAAGATTCTTATTTTCAAACACTGTGCCGGATTTCTATTCTACAAATGGCATGGATCTTCATCCAAAACAAGAGCAAGCTAATTCAAAAGGGACAGAAGTTCCTCTAGGTGCTCACCAATAGTTTTGAGTGTGGTGTGCATGCTGAATTACGACCAACGTTCATTCCCCGCATTTGTCTCGGAATTATGGCTATACAGGTGGAGATTAAAACAATTGTTTTTCTAGT